TCAAGAGACTTCTTCCTTTCTACCCACTTTGGGGCCAGATAAAGAATAGGAATTTCTATTCCGCTATAAAATTAGCTTGGCATTCATTGTCGAGTCTTGGTTAAGAGATTTGGTTCCCGATCGTGCTCCTGATTGTATTGTGCCTTCCGGTAGCTTGTAGCTTGTAATAATAATGCTACCAAATATGCCTAAGAAATTTTCGAGGCTGAAAATATATTTTCCATTTGGGCTACAGGCCACAACACTCCTAATGTGAACGACATTAAAATGAACAAAAAGAGCCGTGAACGTGGTGGAACAAGCCGCAAAAATGAAATAGTAGGGACCTTATATAAGCAGCATAAATTAGTCTTGAGGTTCACCTCAATGAGGAGCAGCGATGAAATGTGGAATAAATTTCATGTGGTGGTGAACACAATTTAAACATGATAAAACGACAAATTTGAGTTTATAACGCAAATGCTTCGTGGAATAGGTATTTGCCGATAATCAAGAATACTAGTACAACAGCTCTGTGGATGGATCTTCAACTCAAATTTTTAGTCCTATAATTGATTTCAATGTTTTTTGGTTAGATAAACCTAGACGAAGGCAATTATCAAAGTGTCTTCATCAGTCTTGATTATTAATACTAGAAAATACAGACGAATAACGTCTTGTAGATACCACTGACCTATAATAGACCTTATCTAGTATAGGTCAGTGGTAAATACTCCTGATAATCAAATCATAGCGGAGAAAAATTGAGCGAGAAATTTTTCGGTAATTTGTCAATATAATCGAATCAACTGTTCCTCGCTTGAATTTGAAGTGTGTACAATTCCACTCGAAATTAAGATCCTTTTAACCTCTAGAATATGTCAATATAGACCATCGTATAATAATAAAAATTACCGAAACTTTTCTCGTGCAATTTTTGGCCGCCTATGATCAAACATTCCATATCAACTCAGATCATTCCATACAAACTTTGTGGAAGCACAGACCTCAGATACATATTTTTTTGTAAACTGATAAGATATATTCCAATACGTATTCCTGGGCAGTAAATGCAATATGCACGTAGAATATTATTTCAGTTCCTAAGTTTAAACGAAGGATTAGTGAAAAGCTATCTTTTATAATTTTGCAGGTAAAATATATCTTTTCTCGAGTATGGAGAATGTGACATCTTCATTTTCGTACAAGTGGATCAAATACCACAAGTTTTTGGACAGAACAGGAATATGTTTCAGCTTTCAGTATAAAATCACAGGAGATAACAATACGTTGTCGGTGTATTTTGCAAACTTGTCTGGGAAGAAAACGTTGGTTTGGAAAATCCATGGTAACCATGGAAACGTTTGGAAATATGGGGAGATCACGTATTGGCCAAGTGAAAATCTTTCGGTAGTGTTTTATGATGTCAGAAAATTTTATACTAGTTTTGTCCTTTTATAACAATTCGACGCACGTTTTTCTTCTATAAACTCATCTCTATTTTTCCTATTTTATAGTTTATCTTTGAGGGGCAAGTCATTCAACCAGATACCATGGTCGCTATTGCGAATATTTTGGTAAAAACAGAGTCATGCAAAGTAAAGGTCCAACCACTCTATGCTGATCCTGGTTGGTGCTTATTATTTTTGCTTATCATGCAGTGCTCAACTTTGCTATTAACGTTGAAAAATTTGAAAAATCAGTTTTTTCTCTTCGTTCCCTCTAAAACATGTATACAGTAGCATTATAGACAGATCATCAATTTCGTTCGCTTCCATCCTTTTTTTTTCACTCCATCAAAGAATATATATGTTCGCCTAAAAAGTTTGAATGTGGCAACGGGCAGTGTATCAAGAAAGGCTATCAATGTGATGGGGACCGATATTGTGCCGATGGTTCAGATGAGTTATTTTGTGAATGTCTCGCCGAACAAGTCAAATGTGAGGAGTCAGCAAGATGTGTCGATGCCAGAAAGTTGTGTAACGGGTTAAAAGATTGTGACGACGGCAGTGATGAACGGAACTGTGGTACGTTATGATTTAAGTTCTCCTTTTTTATACACTTGTGAATGCCTAATATGTGTCTTAGGTTTGTACAGCTTAACACTATATACACACTTCTGCGGTACTGGGCAGCTTATGTTTATCTTGGAATCATCGAGTTTGAGAGATTAAGGTTAAGTAAAAGCCCCCCAACAATGAAAAAGGCCTCATTATATGAGTATTACTGACTTCAAGCTAATTTTACAGCTTACCCGGTTGGTGACCCAGAGTAGTAACATCAAAGTGATTCATTTCATTTATACACCACCTTGTGTCTTTGCACTATTACTATCACTAACTTATTCGGCTTTGCAGAAGAGAGTTGCGAGCATGGGCAGTTTTATTGTCCAAGTGGCCTTTGCATTCCCTGGAATTTAACATGTGATGGAATTTGGGATTGTCCGGATGGAGCAGATGAACCACATGTGTGCTATGGGACAACAGAATGTATGCGCGTTTCTTTTATTTACTTATATAAGTCTAAAAATACCAAATGAATTTGTACCCGGCGTCCATTCTCCGAAACCAATGTTACTTCACGTTATTTCCAATGAAATTGTGGGGTTTAGATGCGTTGTGTGCACTTTCCCTGACATTATATGCATGGAATTCTCATTTTTGTATTTCTCATTTCTCTAGTTAACAAAAAAAGATGTCCGCTCAATGATCTCAGTTGCTTTGAAGAATCCGCAAATTTGACTTTTTGTGAAAAGTTCGCAGAGGGTTGGTAAAATTATCTTAACTTGGATATTGGTTGCACTGGTCTAGCCTCGTTTATGTTCCCACGTAGTTTACTTAGAAGATATTGTCTACATAGAATGCCATTTGTAAATCCTTTCAGGCAGTTGCGATTTCGAGAGGAGTGGCCTTTGCAATTGGGAACAGGTCCTTGATGGTGGGGATAACTTTGATTGGTCAATAAACAGTGGCTCAACTCCTTCCACGTTCACTGGGCCGAATGTTGATCACACCACTGGGTCCATAGAAGGTAGAATTTGACACTTTAAATTCACAGGACGAACCGTCTAAAAGTGTCAAACCGTATTATCATATAGTTGTCTTGCTAATTCATATATGTTGGTACTAAATATTCACGTTAACCGTCCCGTCTGACGTGAGTCAATCCAGGGAGCAAATACCTGGGCGACCGTCATAATTATGATCATAATATTCTTTAGGTTCATACATATATATCGAAGCAAGCGAACCGCGTGTAAAGGATGATAAGGCATTGCTGAAAGCTGGACCTTTTCAGAGTAATATCAACTTTTGCTTTACTTTTCAATATCATATGTATGGAATAGATATTGGCAGCCTCAATATATATAACTCTTTGAATGGAACTGACAAGTTCCTCATGTGGACAAGGAATAAGCCTGCCAATAATGCGTGGAAAACAGGCTGGTTTGATATTCAATCTGGGGAATGGTTTTACGTGAGTATAGAAAAACAGATTAATAAACATCTTCTCGAAAATTTAAACTGGCCGAAAACCTCATGCTTGCCAGGTTACCAATGTCTTGACCACTGCGTGTATTGCAGCATACACAGTTTATAAAAAAATAAAAAATGTGAAATTAGTCATAGGTATACCAAAAATGTCTCAACTGTTTCTAGGTTCACAAAAATGGCGGGAAATTTTATAAAATAGCACAGAAAAAGTACTTTTACCTACATTAGGAATCTAGCAGTTTTTTGATACAAACTGTAGTATCCTGAGGTGTACTATTTAAGAAATAGAAAACATTTTCCGTGTTTCTATACAGTTATAGAAACACGCGTGGGAGTTTGGGAGAACGAGAAATAATCAGTGGGCTCCCAAACTCCCACAAGTGTTTCTATTTAACAATTAGACAACAAGTCCGAGTTGTCTATGAGCAAATAGTAAACGAAGGCGAAGCCTGAGTTGACTATTCGCTCATAGACAACGAAGGCGAATTGTCTAATTGTTTTAGTATACACCCTGTACCTAGATGTATTAATTTCGAGAAAGTAATCGATACACCGTAATTACACCGAAAAATAGTTTAATTCATTCAATTTCATACGGTGGTGCGAGCGAATTTTTCCCAAACGTGCACCATCACGAATAGACAATGGTTGAGTAGCCAATCAGAATGTAGGATTTTTAATATACAATAGTCGGGTGTATACTAAAACTGTTAGAAACACAGGAAAAAATGTTTTCTATTTCTGTTATAATATAACTCAATAAAAAGATTTTGTACAAATATTATGATTCGATTCAATTACAAATTCTCATTACATCGCTTCGCTTCGGAAAATTCCCGTGTTTTTATACAGTTTAGAAACACGCTTCTCGACCAATCAGCACGCGCGTACTATAAATGTTATATTATAATGTTTTATAACTTACAGTTGCTTATTGAGGGGGTTTGTGGGGATGGCGCTCAGGGAGACATTGCAGTAGATGATATCTCAATGGTTCAGAAAAATTGTTCTCAAGTCCATGAAGGTATAAAAAAAATTTATAAACATCGTGAATCATAACAATCGACGAGCTAATTTTAATTTTTATATTACTTGAAATAGATACCTCTCCATTTTGCTCGTTTGAAGAAAACTGTATTTGGGAAACGGTCGGGGATTGGGAACGAAAGCGAGTACGGGACAGGAATCGTCTCATGCCGCAAGGTGTGTTTCATTTTTTTCACATTTCATATTTATACGCATTACGTGGGATACGAATCTACTAGTTCCATTAATCCGAAGACTGATTCTCACAGAATTGTTTCCAGTAGCAGCTGGGGCTTACTTTGGGAGCTAGCGAAATTTTTTTTAAATCCTTTCTTTGCATTGTGCCAGACAGTGGTATTTTGCTTTTCTTTTTCGATAGGCTATTTTCTAAAGACAATAACATCTGGAAAACTCTGGGCAACTTTGACAAACGAAATGACAGAAAAATATCAATGCATGTCATTTTGGTATGCGTTCTCTTATTGCCCCGAGATGTCATTTACCTCTTCTCAAGAACATGACGAAAACATTCTTCGAATGCGCCATTACTTTCGTCAGATAAAGACGAAAATCATTGGTTGTTTACTGAGATGCCACTTGATAGATGCGAAAAAAAGTCGAAGGTAGTTGATATCGATCCCTCTTTAGTCCCAATGCCTGAAATGTTTCGTAAAGTATTTTTTGTCTTAACTAGATTACGTTTGACATAGTAATACCTGGTGCTCATTGTTACTTTGGAATTGACGAAATACAATTCTCTATTGAACCGTGTTTAACTTTCCAACAAGGTCAGATAATGGAAACAAAATACAAGGCTTTACTCTTTTTATTAATTTTTCCGCATATTTGCAACTTACCATGTTATTGTATTTTCATATCGTCCATGTATATGAAGTAACAATTAATCAAATATCTTAAGGTGGTTCTGCCTGGATGCGAAAATCCGGCAAATTATTCAAAACGTCCAAAAAGCAAAACAGCGATGGATCCATCACTGCATTCTACCACAGTCGCCTTTCATCCTCACTCAATCATGGTTCTCCGACGAGAACACCAAGCTTCATAGACGTAATATCTCCAGATCTCGTAAATTACATCGTTTCGAATGCCAAGCCCTCAAATCACTCTGAAATTAGCGTTGGAGCAAGAGTATTTGTTGAAAACAATCCGGACACTGCATCTCTGGGAACCGTGATTATGAAAGATGAAACCCCATCAAAATACAAGTTAACTGCACGACTTGATTGCAATGGTTCGGATATTGACGTTTTGAATAGAAAGGTGTACCTTCTTCCCTATCAGTTAGATAGACATGGTAAGTGATATTTCACATTCAATTATTAATACAAGAACGGAATTATTTCAAAAACGCGTGAATATTAAAAGCATACACAAAATATTAACCGAGTGCACCAGCAATGGCCATGATCTCTCTATCGGTGATCATATTTTAGCCCAATTTAGCAAAAAACAAATATTGTCGGCTATCGAACAGAGACTAATTAGCCATTTCCCAATCGAGCAGGGTACTGGGTATAGTCGCGAACATCTATGGACTATTTGGAGAGACAAATTATTTCAAACATATATTTCCTGTCCCTCCAAACAGTATGCTTTGCGGTTAGCGAATAGACCCAGTATCCTGCTCGATTGGGAAATGGCTAATTGCAAAAAGAAAAAAATGAGTATGCAGGGCCATAGTTAAACCACCTAATTTGAGGGGGGGGGGTGTAAGTTCATATCATTATTCGTGTTTATGATTATAAGGAAGAATAGCATACATAAGAAATCTGTCGAGCTTAAGACGAATATATTAATGTACACACCCCCCTATTCAAGCGTCTAACTACGGCCCTGTGTGTATGTCGAGATAAGCGAGTTCTGCTCCATCCCCCCATGCACCAATATTGTCTAACGTCACAATCACGAATAGAATAAAGTATTTAATGATACTATAAAAATGATACAGCTGTATAATTATAATTGATTTTCAGGTCCAAAATGGCGAACCACAAATCGCTGCCTGGAACAGTACAAAAGTTCTTGTGTTTTTTTTACGAACTCGCTTAATTGGTTTGACGCTGCAGACTACTGTAAAGCACGTGGGGCGGAATTAGGTAAAATCTACTCCGAAGACGAAGAAAAAAATTATAAAACCTTGTATTCAAAAAATTTGCCATTTTGGGTTGGCTATCACGGGCATAAACATCGGGGGAAGAAATTCGTATGGAATGACGACAGTGAGGATGTCTTTAACAAACTGAGCAACAAGAGTTTAAAAAATGGATTATCAGCCGGATTATGTTCACTGGTCACAAAAGATCCATTATGGCAACGAACCAATTGCAGCGAGGCTCATTCTGTTTTATGCACCCAGCCAGGTACACAGTTTGTATTTCTATTTTGTTACAAATCAGCAGCGGGTGGAATCCCAGCCTTTCTTGCAATCTGATTCGCTGTTGCGGGAAGAATTTTACAATATGTGATGAAGGTCTACCCTTCAGCAAATGCTTGAGCGAAAGTTTGTCTGTTGTGTTCTTCTAAAAAAATTTTGAAATGATTGGGTGGCTATAAAATTAAACGTCTTAATGTAGTGAAGTTTAATGAAAGAAAAATTATAAATAAACTAACGAAGGTAAGGCGTATTACCATCGGGGAAAAGAATTAGCCTTTCCCACAATGGCGTTTTTTGGGTACTTTCAATTTTAAAAAATTATAACAACAGACCATTTGAAGAATAAATTCAGCCTATATAAATTATACAAAAATAAAGATTCTTACGCTCACGGCTTTGAAAAAAAAGTACCCAAAAAATGGCGGCATGTTCGTCATCGTAAGAAAGCCCAATTTAATTCCAGTCCCAAATTGACAAACCTTTGAGTTTGGAGAAAGTCTTTAAAATCGGTCGAGGGTGCAAGATAATTAAATGCTTGTCGATCTCCATTTTGAAAAGGGATGGAGATGGTTGCATGCATATTTTATGCAAAATTCTTCTGGACAACAAATTCGTTCTGTGAAATGCAAGTGTATCCCCCTGTTATAATCCTGCGTTCCTTTGCGAGGCCTTTGTATGTTCGGTTCAAATTGCGAAATTGATTACTCTTATTCTAGGGAGGCAATTGAAGATCCTAAATTATTGTGATAGCAGGGAGGATGTCCAAAAGCTCTCTTGCGAGATTTCAAAAACTGTGCTGCTGATCAAGAAGGCAGAACTTGACGCAGTTACTGACGAAATGCCCGTCATTAAAAATAAAAACTGTTCTCAATTGTACATTTCTTCTAAACATCACCTCCTCGCGGAAATAAAGGCAATGTGTCAAGGGAGACGTGAATGCAATATATCTGTAAAGTCAATAACAAATGATCCATGCCCGTTGGAGAGAAAACGCATAAATATTGAGTATAAATGTTTGGTTCAGTCAAGAGGTTATCCTGGTGAGTTGTTTATTAGCATTAAAATGTGTTACTCTTTATATTCTATAATGCGCATGTTTTACTATATTTTTCCTACTTCTCTTTACTAAAACCCTCGCTTTGTTTCGATTTAAAGAGGCTAGGCAAAGCGTGAAACTGATCATTTCGAGTTGTTGTCTGTGCAAAAGAAAGCAAATATCGCGTACAATTTTGTTGTGTATACAAACGTGAAAGCTATGTGACGGATTAGTGACCTTTACTTTCACTTCGGATCATTGAATGTATTTCTTTTACGTTTATGTACACTATTTTGTTCACACTTTATTTTAGTAGTTTTTTATGTCTTGGACCATTTATCCAGGCGACGCTTCTTTCCTCTACGGTCTGTTCTATAACATGCATACGGTCACTTCCGTCTCCCACTAAAATCACTGATTAAGACACTTAGTAAAACCCACCTAAACACTTATGAACATTATCTTTTTAGTGCTTGCAGAAAGAAATTCCGCATTCAGTCCAAGAGAATGGAAGAAATTTCGCGCAAGTTACTACAAAGCGGATGCACGCAAAACCATCTGGAAAGAAGCTAGAGCAATCTGTGAAATGGAAAGAGGAGCGACACTAGTTTCCATTGAAGATAAACAAGAAGAAAATTATGTGATGAACCTTATGAGTTCTATTGGCCTGAATGTTTCTCACATTGGACTAACAGCAAAAGAATACCCTGGAAATTTCGAGTGGCTGGATGGTAGCAAGAGTTCTTACAGGAATTGGGTGAATGACACCGTTAAGAGTTTTGCTGGTGAACCAATTTTTGTTGCGGTTGGTTTTAAAGGTTGGCTTCAGTCATTTGGAAATTATACAGCTGGTTTTATTTGCAAATATACTCCAGGTACCAAGAGATATTTTCAGCAAGATGTTTTTAATAATACAACGGATAAACTCTAGATAATAATACAGCCACCTTGAACAGCTTACAAAGTCGTATTATTAATACTTTTCATACAGGTGTTGGGGGTTGTGATTTTGAAACTGGTTGGTGTGGCTGGAAGGATACATCAGCAGAAAGCTGTTGTCCCTGGAGCCGTTCAAAAGGCATTGATGACACATCCACAAAAAGCACACTGTCCGGTTAGTGTATAGCAAAAAATCCTGATTTGTATATCGGTCAAAATTGTGACATGTACTAATGTGACTAATGCATGCATTGTAGGTGTCTACAAAACAGAGCAGACCTCAGACGTCTATATCTACCAGTTCCTAAATGAAGAAAGAAAGGATATCTTCTTTAAAGTGGACAGACCGAAAGAAATGAATCGCCTGACGTTATGTCTTTGGGTGTATGTTGATAACAAGAGTATCAGTGGAGCGACTATCGTTTTGTTTGGCAAAAAACTTGGGGTGAAAATATATTATGAGAAAGATCTCAAATTTGTTGTGGGGTTTTACGATTGGAATGCGTGAGTAGGCTATGCATACAAATCTCATATTTTTCAATGAAATAAAATAGTAAATTGAACAAAATGATAAATTACTTTTTTCTGCTTTTATCCAGCACTACAAACGCGACAGTCTCGATTGATTCTTGGCAACATATTTGTTTTTTGATTGATACTATTGAAAATTTGTGGAGTTTCTATAAAGATGGAGGTTTAACAGATATTGCTTTGTCAAGAGTATCAAAATTTTCCTCCGACGCACTTGATACCGATGATAATCAAGTATTTTTAGGTCAAGAGGTAAGTGATGTGTCCTTCAGTGTAGCGATTGATCACTTCACCTTCCTGGTTCACTGCAGGTGATATAAATATAAATATAAATTATTTTGCGCTGAATAATTTATACCATTTTGTCCTGATTGGGTAGTAAATTACCTCGAAGAATTAGTTCATTGGGATTATTAAGACATTGTAGCTGAGAACAATAATTATGATGCCAAAAATTCAAATTAGCTACGTTTTTAAATAAACTTATATGCATTCGCCATTGGCCTACCTATGGTCAAGCGTCCAAGCAAGCAATAGCGAGCTTCAGCAAGTGACTTTTTGACAACACGCGTACGTTGATCGAAAGTTTTAGTTATTCACGAATCACAACCTTTGACCCAATCTTTTGACGTTATAACTACTCACGCCGTTTGTGTTGTCATGCAAGAACGTCACTAGCTAGCAATCATCGGGCTTTAGTACGGGGCTGCTTGAATCCAGCTGTAGACATGAAGCAAATGTCTACAATAGTTTTATTAAATATAAAATCGATTTACATTTTACATCTTGTTTTGTAGACAAAATGTTCATTTGAATGCAGCAATTTTAAGCAATTTTTTGGAAAGATGACGAAACCTGTCATGTGGTCAAAAATAATCGATGCACACGAAATCCTGGCTCTTTCTTCTGGCTGCGGTATATTCCGGGAAGCTGGTGATATGGAGATTTACAAAAACTCTGAACTAGACATGCATGCAAAACTAGTGGATCATGGTGAATGCACTGCTGGGAAAGGTTAGTTTTTATGATGAATTACGTCGATGAATTATGACTATAGCCCATTTACACCGCGCACAATTTTTGGTATAGGGTACCGAAAAAAATGGTACGGATGAAACTGTCATGTAATTAGCCAAATTTTACTCGTGCAAATCCGTTTACATTATGGTCAATTTCGAATTCAGGTTTGGTACGGATAAAATTGAAAATGATGACTTTTGGACGGCCTATAAATAGCTATAATCAGAATAAATATTATATATCTCATCATGCTTCACACTTTCCAAGGGAGTTAATCTTTTAAAAATGTGTGAAAACCGTCGCACTTTACAATAGCTATTGTTCTTACATGTTTCAATGAAAAGAGGTAATATTCTATATCGTGTGTCAATAAAAAATGGCCAGCAAGAATTTATACATTCACTGGAATGATGATTCTCTGTAATATATTAATAGCTAGCCAAGCTAGGAATATACATATATGAACAATATATTCACAATATCTCATTGAACTTGACAGTTTTTTATTAATCGTATTTCTCGGACTGTGCCATTCCATAGTAACATGAAATTACTACATGCATTGGTGCCATGCATGTTTGCATCCAATAAGGGATTTAACATTCTGTTTACTGCAGGCTTTCGACTCCAATGTCGAAAAATCAGCAACGCTTCAACCATAACGTTTCCTTCCGCATCAACTTTGGTTTCCCCCTGGATGAGGTCATCTCTTTACAGTGTTCGTGGCATTTGTATGAATTTCACATATCGCCTACTGGGGCTGGATTCTCAAATTGCTGTTTGGTTTGAACCAAGAAATACTGTCAAAGAAAGGCTGTGGTCCGTTAAAAGTTCTAGAAAGCACGATTTGTGGAAGAATGGTCAGCTTTCCTTGGGACTTGTTTCAAGTTTCAGGGTATATAATAAGATCTATTTATTTCTTGCCTGTTTGCTGTTTGCCTTAAAAAATATTTTGTTTTTATTGATTTTGTCTATTATAAGGTTCACGTAACAGCGACATTATGGTCCAATCTAAGCGAGGTCAAGGTGGATAACATTTTCTTTACAGAAGGTTATTGTTCTCCAGTTCCTAAGAATGCCCAAGGTAAAGAATTTGCAATGTTAAAACATGGATTGTATGAAAAAGTATAACAGCCGACTGTACACTAGAAAAATTTTAACGATAAGCTAGATAGAGCTCTGAGGGAAGAATAATTGGGAGGGAGAGGGAAGAATACATTATATGTAAGACATAACAAACATATGCTTACAAAACCTGTTCCAATTTACTCTATTGCAGATGCAAAATTTGAAGATTTCGCCTAATTACTTAATTATTAGTATAGCGAATTAATTGTTTCGTCTGGTCTTAAATTTGTTAACACACTTTAGCTACATTCTTCTGTTTCAGAATGGCATACACATGTGGCAAATAGTTCCTCGGGATATTTAACCTCACCATATTATCCCTCAGTTTACCTGAACAACATGAAACGTTCTTGGAAAATTGAAGTACCTCAAGACCAGCGTATCAATCTGACTGTTTTATTCATGAATTTGGAAGATGCCAAGCATTGCAGTAGAGACTCGATTGTTTTCAAAGACACTTTTTTTTCACGGAAATATACCTCTTATTGTGGTAATACTTTTCCGGTCGGGTATTTATCCACGCGTAATGTTGTTTATGTGACGTTCCAATCAGATGAATCTCAAGTTCGAACAGGTTTTAAAATCCACTACCAAGCGATATCGAGTAAGCATTCATTTCAGTTCAAAAATCGTTTTTACTAGTACCCATTAATAGGTTACATTTGTATTAATATGTCCTTTTCTTACAGTTGACAAGGATTCTTGTCAAAAGAACGATATCATAGGTAAGTAATTTACTATTCAATGGATGACAATAGAAATTCTATGAAGTAATACTGGTATATAAAATAGATTGTTCTTCTTTCTGTTGTGCGCTCGTAGGTCATAAAAAATTACGTAAGAGTAAGATCATTTTTTTATCATCACTAGAAGCATAATTGGGGAAGGGGGGTGATATTCATGTATTCTTGTCCGCTCAACCGTAGAAACAATAGCTATATACAAGAAAAGAGATCGGTCGGGCATCAGATGAATATATGAATAGGCCCGACTGATCTCGACTATTATAGTGACCGCCCTGCTGATCATATAGTACACTTGAACTCTCTTCTTTTAGTACATTTCACTTCGTCAATGCCCCATTATTTCACATTGAGGAAAACATTGCTACCAACTCATTTTTTTATTTCAGATTGTCCATCAACACTACGTTGCCATCCTTTCGGCCTAAAGAAGTCAAAAATATATGTTTATGCTGAAAACGTATTACGAATGCCAGATTACTTTCCAGAGAAAACAACAGCAATGTAAGGCATGTCGTTGTTAACGTTTTTAATCAGTTTGCAGCAATTATATTCCTTAAAAAAATTTTCTAGAAATTTTGATGGCAACGCCTTGGTAACATTAACTACATTCGTAAACCTTACGTCTTTGGAATTCTTGTAAGTTGAATACATATATATATTGTGATCTGTCAATATTGGAACAATCACTCAATTTCTATAATCGGAGATATTTTACCTCAGCTGTGATTGTTTTTCTTTCGTTTGTTTCACTTTTCTCTTTGACAAATGTAGAAGTATTAGCGACAACAAGTTAATCTCAATAGATGAGAAGACTTTTCATGATTTGACATCTTTAAGGGCACTGTAAGTGAAAACTTGCGTGTTTTTCAAACTTATTTGCTGCACAGCTATACGCTTAACATGTTGTTTTAATTTTACTATACATTTTATAGACGATTACCTTCAAATTTTCTTAAAGACATACCAAGAGATGTTTTCCGAGCGGTAAAATCTCTCGAAATGCTGTAAGTTTATCCATGATTTTTAACCTAGGTTTAAAAAATTTGAGGATTTGAAAAATTCATCATTTCAACTAAAGTTAGAGATGTTTTTCCGTGCTATTATTCAAAATATTATATTATTACTATATTATATATTACATTAGAATACATTATTATATAATAATTTTATAGAGATTTGAGTATGAACAGACTTTACAAGTTGGACAAGACATTGTTCCTTGATTTGAATTATCTTCGATTGCTGTGAGTGATATCATAATAATTTATAATTACTAATTCGATACTGATTAAGTTTACACTTAGTTTAGTAATTCACGTTCCAATTATGATCTACGCAGGAGTCTTCGAAAGAATCGAATTAGACTTCTGGAAGATGGAATGTTTTCTAATCTTCGCAAGCTTCAATATCTGTGAGAAATATTTATGATATTTTCGTTTTGATGAATTACATACTTTACCTGTAACTCATATATACATGTCACCGTCCTATAATTTACTCCTGCTGCTTTACAAAGAGATAGACGTTATAAATTGTATTGCATGATATTCATTTCTTGCCGTTCCACAACATGGCAGGTGGTCAGCTTGAACGTAGCTCTGATTTAAACAGAGATAATATTCGTAACGACTGCGATTTTAATAAGATAAATGTATACATTACATCGAATCAAATGGTGCGACGATTACGAATCCTTGCAAGAATTTGTTGATACGGTTTTTTGTCAACCAGGGAAATGGCGGTCTTCTTGAGGCAATGCAAGACGGTTCGACGCCTCTACTTCAGACCTCGTGGTGATATGGTACCCGGGGAAACTAAATACCTTAACCTTGAAAGGCACCCAGGGTATATTGGCCAAGAAATACTTAATCGATCAAAATGTTTCTTCTCAAAGAGTTTATGAAGACCATACAACGTCGCACAAAACGCGCTGTGGTCGAGTCGACGACAATGCAGATATAACGCTATGTTTCAGATCGAAATAATTAAAAGTAGACTCGACGCAACGCAATCACTACAAGACTCTCTTCAAGAAGAATCCCTGTTCTTTACAGTATCGCATTTAAGTAACGAAATGAAGCTATTACAACTTGATTTCGAAGAAGAAAAGGTGAAAAATGTAAAATTAGAACTTGAAATCAAACACCTTCGCGAAGAAATTTGCATAATTAAATCTCTATACAATGCCACGACACGCTCCAAATCAAAGCATGGATATTGACATTATTGAAATCACACCTAATAGTGTTGAATCAAGTGAATCACGTAATGATACGGAAGCTGGAGTTGGGTTGGTAGATCAGATTGATGAACAAATTCATGATTACCGTACTAAGCAGTACAATAAATATCATTCAGAATTTGAGGAGCAAACCCAATACGAACGGACAATTAATATAGAAACAGAGAACGCCTCGGAGTGCGCCAACTTAAAGGTGTGTTCCTCGGAAAAAGAACCTCAAACTAATGCACTAGAACACGTCGATCCTAAAGAGCGCCTCTCTTGTGCAAATGGGTTGCCAACGTCTGGATTTCCAGTGGTGAATAGGCCAAAAATAAAGAGCAAAGCAATAACACCCTTCGTTTTTTAAAAAGAAGAGGTTATTGCCTAAAGGGTGATTGATGTAATTTTCTGCACAAACCTACTACATCGAAGGTGTACGGTTAGAAACATCAGTATCTTCCCTTTGAAAGATCTTCGCCTCCAAATATGCCATACCCAAATATTCCATACCCTAATAATTATCTACCATCGTTTCCTCATTGTCCCTAATTTTCTCTCCCCGAACGGCCATCCTCCGTTTTGGGCACAGACCAGACCACTGCAGAACGCATTTCCACCACCACCCACGAATATTCCAATGTGTCCTTCAATGTGTCCTCCCTTTCCCCCTCCGCTTCGTTATATTCCTCCTTTTCCTCCGGTATCGACGAATGCTCCTACCTAGTTTCCACTACGTCACCATTAACTACACCAGATTATAATTCTTATCTTCCTAATCTTTTAATTTCTAACGTTCGATCTCTAACTCCGAAAATTGACGAATTACAATTGGTTGCTAAATCAAATAATGTTGATATTATTTCTATTACCGAGACGTGGTTAAATGAGTCTATCCAGGACTCCGTTCTTTCCCTCGATAATTTTATTTTATTTCGTAATGACCGTGCAACAGCTACTGGTGACGGAGTTTGTATTTTCGTGAACTCACCTTTTTGTTGTACCAGAATAAATGAATTTGAAAGTTCCGGTATTGAGTCGTTATGGGTATCTGTTCGACCATGGTACCTTCCACGATCGATCTCTGTGTTACTAATAATTGCAGCCATTTATCATTCAACTGCAGCTAATAGTATGGCCGGACAATAAAGACCTTTACTATCATATTCAAGTTAACGTTGATACTTTTTCTTCGAGTATACCCAGATACTTTAGTGATGATTTCAGGTGATTTTAATCCATCTAGTACTGGATTCGATAAAAATCGTTTAAAACGGTTAACTGGCTTAAACCAAATAGTTAACGTTCCTGCGAGAAATAACGCTATATTAGATTGGTGTCTGGTGAATGCAAAACAACTGGTCTTCCAACCAATTCAGTTGTCTCCAATAGGTTCAAGTGATCATAATGCCATCGTTATTAAATCTTACATTCATCGTTCTAAAAAGCAGATAATAAAAAAAGTTTTTAAAAGAGATTTGAGGGATAGTTCTTTAAGGCCGTTTGGCCGTTGGATTTGTTCCTATGATTGGAAAGCAGTTTATGAAATTTCTGACAGCGAGATGATGTTGAATAAATTCGACGATATTCTTTCTTCTATGATTGATCGCTTTCTCCCCTTCAGCGCAACTACAGTCTGCTCGTCTGATAAACCATGGATGTCGCCACTACTTAAACGCTACACTAAGAAACGTGAAGTGGCTTTCTACCGTCATGGAAAATCTTCTGAGTCTTATAAATACTGGCGTAATTAGCTGCATGCAATGTGTCTGTAATAGGCTGTAATGAAACAGAAGCTGCCTAAAATATCTCATGGGTATACGAAGCATATCAAATAAGTGAACCCATTAATTAAGTAGAACATAAAGTTTGTTCCCTTTGGGAGTTAAAATGCATTCTAAGCTCTGTAATAAAAAAAGAACGTGGAATTAGTTCAATTGGTTTAAACACTTTCGCATTAATTAACAACGTCTTGTTGATTGTACACAATGGGAATTGTCAAATTCCAGCCATAAGTTTGCGGCTAATTTGAATTTCAAAGGTGTCAGGTTTTTTTGACTCACCCTGTACAGTAGCTATAAACTGCATGGATCTCATTGAATTCCGTGACCGAATCATTGTTTTCTTTTCCAACCAACGACAAAAAGTAGATGTAATCTTCAGATTTCACCAAAACAGGACAAACAGGACCATTTTTGTTATTATATTATTTTTTATTATACTTATTATTAACCGCAATATTTCATTTTTCCCAGGTATCTTGATGGTAATGATTTGTCAAATTTGGGAAGTAAAGTGTTTAATGCAAACTCTGCGTTGAGAACTTTGTATGTTTTATTTATTAAATAAGTAGGATTTCCTTGTATTTATATTAATATATATTTTTGTATTGTTTGGTAGGATATTAAAAAACAACAAATTAAAAAAAGTTAAAAAATCGTGGTTAAGAGGAAAGTTGTCACTTGTAACTTTGTAAGTATAAATGTTGGTGATTTAGTGTTTGGCCGGTTGTAACACTTTTAAATCTTGAACTCTTCTGGACTGCCAGTGAGAGGTAAAAACACACATATTGTTAAGTTTATGGCGTGATTCACAATGATGAAAAGTGATCATTGCTAGCTAATAAAAGTTTTCAAAGGCGTTTTTAATACTTATCCGCAGCTTATTTTAAATTAAAAAAGTAAAGTTATCTTTCTCTACGTGTTTATTCTAAACTTTTTGGAAAAAATTAAGCAATTATGTTGTGGAGGGTCCTCCATACTCTACAAACGCACACATATTATTTAGCTGATGTATGTCATTGCATTAAAAAAATAGTTTGCTTAAAATTTTTGTTCAAGAAAACTCCAGAATAATAAAATAAAATAAAAGAAATTGAAGCAGGATCGTTCGATGATTTGAAAAATTTGGTTGACTTGTAAGTATCATGCATCATTTTTTCTGCTTACTTACAGATATTATTACCCAGTGTTGCAAAATAATAATGTGCACAAAATTAACTTAACGTGTTAAATATTTTTTTATTCAGGGATATATCAAATAATCAGATACACAAAATTCCTCAAGATTTATTTCAAAATCTTCTGTCACTTCGGCACTTGTAAGTCTTGACGTACAGTATTTGTGTTTGGCAAAATTAAAAACGTCATGAATGACCTATTTAAGACTAACAACAGCTTTTCCATAATATAAGGAGCGCCCTCTAAAAATTTACTACTTAATAACTGACGCCTTGAGTCATGTTATTTCTTCCGTTTTAAGAACATTAATATATAATGCTCGCCATACTGCCATTAAAATTGGAGTTTAGTGCAATTTTACTTACTGCATGTGTTATACTACAAAGACTATGTTTTGTCAGTCATGAGTCCATTATTTGAAATTCAAGAAACTAATGTCTATGCATCTGTAGATTCAGCATATAAATATGATGATAACTATAGTGTCAATTTTTTGTGGGACATACTGTATAATTATATCGTCTAATATTTCATCTTTTGTCATATATTGTTAGAAAAGTGGATCATTTTACGCTGTGTTGTTTCGCAAAACAGAACAATCCGAGTGTTTCGTGCGTTGCCAAATTTGAAGGAGGATTTTCAAGTTGTGATGAGCTTCTGAAAAATGATGTGCTCAAATATTCAATTTGGATTCTTGGTCTGATGGCCTTCCTTGGAAACTTCTTTGTTATTGTATGGCGATCGTTTTCAAAGGACAGCAATCGTGTGGCTTCATTTCTTTTAACAAATCTCGCTGTTGCTGATTTCCTAATGGGCGTGTACCTGTTGATTATTTCATATAAAGACACAGTGTGGAACGGAGTGTACTTCAAACATGATATTTCCTGGCGTGCAAGCAATTTGTGCATATTTGCAGGTGTTATCTCTACTTTATCAAGCGAGGTCTCAGTGTTAACTCTGACTGTTATCACCCTGGAACGTATGATATGTATTATATTTACTCTTAAATTTCAACGTTGGTCAATGAAGAAAGCCTGGGGCATAATGATCGTTGTTTGGTTGATTGGACTTTGTATTTCAATCATTCCGTTGCTAAACGATGCCTATTTCTATGATTATAAACAGAATGCACACTTTTTTGGACGTTCACCGGTCTGTCTACCACTCCAGTTATCGAGCGATCGGCCAGCTGGCTGGGAATATTCAGTGTGTGTATTTCTCGTTTTGAATGGTGTTTCTTTTTTATTCATTCTCCTGGCATATGTGTTTATGTACCGCTCCATAGTCAAGGCCGCCCGTTCAGTAAGGTCAACGAGGGTAAAGAAGGATTCAACCATTGCAAAGAGAATGATGTTCATTATTTTAACAGATTTCCTATGCTGGTTTCCTGTGATAATTTTAAGCATTTTGGCTTTAACAGGAAATTTATATGATCCTTCGAAACAAGTATATGCTTGGGTGGCTGTGTTTGTATTGCCCATCAATAGTAGCATCAATCCGCTACTCTATACCTTCTCAACTCCATACGTTCGGAAAATGATTCCATCGCCTCTCAGCTGGATTGCCCATAAAATATTCAATTGAAGGAAGATTTCACAAAGGTAATTCTATTGAAAAATCCTAGAAAGCTGAAAATTTTGTATTCGTAAAGGAATTGCATTTGTATCATTTCTGTGTAATATGTATTGTGGTCAGTCGTGGCCCGTTGTTGACGTAGTTTAGCTTTTTATGATAACAGACTACCAGCTATATACTTTCAAGTACTGTAACCAACAGCTAATGCATATTGGTTATCAGTATTTTTCAGTGTTTATCACTTGTTATTATTATTTTCCAAGCGGATGCTTAGCATTTTGCCCTGCTGTAACAAAACTACCTGAGATATGTTTTGCAAGTGAAATGGCAGTGGTACCAACAGAACCTATACAAACAGTTGTAATACTAGCAGCAGTAGCAATATACGAGAGTAATCGCAACAGTACCAGCGCAGTACTGATAGCAACACCAGCAGCATTTATAGCAGCTGTAGTATAAATACCAGTAACAGTACCAATACCAGCAGCACTGCTATCAGTTGAAGTACAAATACCAGCAACAGTAAAAATACCAGCAGCACTGATATCAGCTGCAGCACAATTTCCAGTACAGTATCAAAACAATAAAAACAGCTGCAAGTAAAGATACCAGCAACAGTATAAATACTGTACTAGCAGCACTAATAGCAGCTGCAGCAAAAACTCTAGCAACAGTATAAATACCAGCAATAATAGTAGCCGCAGTAAAGATACCAGAACAGTATAAATACTGGCAGCAATAATAGTAGCTGCAGTAAAGATGCCAGAACAGTATAAATACCAGCAACACTAATAGCAGCTGCAGCAAAAACTCCAGCAACAGTATAAATACCAGCAGCAATAATAGCAGCCGCAGTAAAGATACCAGAACAGTATAGATACGAGCAGCAATAATAGCAGCCGCAGTAAAGATACCAGAACAGTATAAATACCAGCAGCAATCATAGCAGCCGCAGTAAAGATACCAGAACAGTATAAATACTAGCATCAATAATAGCAGCTGCAGTAAAGATACCAGAACAATATAAATACCAGCAGTAATAATAGCAGCCGCAGTAAAGATACCAGAACAGTATAAATAACCAGCAGCAAAAATAGCAGCTGCAGTAAAGATACCAGAACAGTATAAATAACCAGCAGCAAAAATAGCAGCTGCAGTAAAGATACCAGAACAGTATAAATACTAGCAGCAATAATAGCAGCTACATCAGCTGCGGTAAACATACCAGTATCAATTGCAACGGCCGTGAGTACTACTAATGCGATGAAACACGTGTAGTTATGACAAGCCAGCAGAACCAATGGCATTACAAATTCTGAAAATATCTTCATTGAACGTGTAAACGTTTATAAGAAGTGATTAAAGTCATATAAAAGAAACAATCCTAGTATTTTTTCGCATTTCAATGCTTTCTTATTTGTATCCCTCATTGCATGGTTTCTAACATTTTGTTACCTGATTTATTAACCCTAATTTTTAACGTATTTACCTGAAATTTCCGAATCGTCTTTGTTGGGGGGTGTGTGACCCCCCCCCACACCCCCCAGTCGCTACGTCCCTGAATTTAATAGCCTCGCGATATTGGTCTAGTTTTATTTTCGAACACACTGCCAAAACCAGCGAGTTTTACAAATGAGTCCAGTCCAGGTTTTACAAATGAGTCCAGTCCAGGTGTTACAAATGAGTCTAGTCCAGGTTTTACAAATTAATCCAGTCCAGGTTTTACAAATGAATCCAGTCCTTGTTTTACAAGTGAGTCCAGTCCAGGTTTTAGAAATTAATCCAGTCCAGGTTTTACAAATGAGTCCAATCCAGGGTTTACAATGAGTCCAGTTCATGCTTTACAAATGAGTCCAGTCAAGATTTTACAAATGAGTCCAGTCAATGTTTTACAAATGAGTCCAGTCCATGTTTTACAAATGAGTCCAGTCAAGGTTTTACCTGAGTCCAGTCCAGGTTTTACAACATGCCCATAAAGCCTTCTCAATAATCAATAATTAAATCCTTTATATTAGAGATTATGGTTGAAGCTGACGACGGAATTCCCGCAGAACAGAATATTTAAATGAATATGCACCCACTCTAACCTTTGTTTTTGGGACATTAATTTAGTTTTATAGTACCTTACGGTTTTCGGGCTCATAGCAGCAATATACTGTAAAGTATATGTTTTCGATGGGGCCATATTTTAGAAAATATTGAAGCAACCTCGCACCCAGGGTCTTTACTCGTCGAGAGTAAATTTTGGGGAGGCTAGTTTCCGGAGCACCGCGGCTCACGCACACAGATCAGTGCTCACGCACCCCCGCACGCTCACCCTTTTTTCAACTGACCTCTATCCAATAACTGATTGCAACGTTATATATCTTACTCGTTGATTTTACTATTAAAGCGCCTGGGTACGAGGCTGAGGGGACGCTGGGGGCTCACTGCCGCTCACATAACCTACTGCACGCAACAATGGGAATTGATTGAATTGATATGCATATCAAATATCAATAATTCAATATACCATGTTTCACACCACTGTGAAGTACGCACCACATTCAACACGACATTCAAAAACACCATATGACTCATTTCCATCATTCAAACATTCGAAATTCAAATATTGTTTAAAACCCTTTCCAAACATTTATTAAAAGGAATAATGTACTAAATCGATCAATTGGAGCTTAAACTTTATACCTTAACAAAACAGGCGGAATCAACGTAAAATTTGCCCAAAAAAGAGATTTTGCACCACGCTGCAAAGAACAATTTCCTAATTTTCTCAACCCTGATTCGATAGAAATCCTTTGAACTTTTATATTTAGTGGAGAATTATGTGCGCTTTCAAACGGTATGTAACATGGAAGTGGATTGGCCGCCGAAATATATAAAATTCCGTCTTGGAATCAAACATATTTGCACGTGCGTCTCTTATAAGCTAATTAATAATACCTATTAGCGCGCAGCAAAGCCGGGCGACAGTAATTCCTAAAGAATCACAATTTTCTCAGCCGCTATTTTATAGAATTTCTTCAAATCTCCGTATTTAGTTCGAAGTAATATGCTCTTTCAATTCAATTCAATTCAATTCATTTCAAACACTGTGTAACATGGAAGTGGATTGGCCGTAGAAATATATAAAATTTCGTCTTGAAATCAAACATATTTGCACGCGCGTCTCTTATAAACTAATTAATAATACCTATTAGCGCGCAGCAAAGCCGGGCGACAGTAATTCCTAAACAATCACAATTTTCTCAGCCGCTATTTCATAGAATTTCTTAAAATCTCCGTATTTACTTGGAAATAATATGCTCTTTCAAACAGTGTGTAACATGAAAGTGGGTTACGTCAAAAAACGATGAAATTACGTCTTCAAATCAAACGTCACGAATGTCGTGCGTACTTCACACTTTGGTGCGGTTGAGTTTGAGACAGAATTTCATACATTTCGAAAAAGGAATCACTTGAACATTGCAAACTTTTTAAAAGAGTGTGTCATTATGTACTATTTACAAAAAGTATAGTGAAGTTCCACAGAATAGAGGCTGAGAAAATTGCGATTGTTTAACGAGTAGTCTTTTCGCGTTTTTTAATTAATTAATAATGCTCAGCCGGCATGTCTTAATATATTGCAATTTTCTCAGCCGCTATTTTATAGAATTACTTTAAAACTCTGTATTTAGTTCGAAGTAATATGCTCTTTCAAACAATGTGTAACATGAAAGTGGGTTACGCCAAAAAGCAATGAAATTCCGTCTTTACAATCATGTCATTGTTTCTATGACGAAAAAATATAATTTTTCTTCTTTCAGATATTTATGACGTAGTGTATATATTTATTCATATAATTTCTACAGCTAGAGGGATATGTTACATTCTCAAAATCTGCACCTTTTTTGCGAGTACATCATTTTTGGTTGCATATTAAGATGCTGATGATAAATATGACAAATGTAAGTTGTATAATACACAAGAATAGCTTCATACCCGCGTATATTGTTTAGACAGCTTTCATGTTGCCTGTAGCAGCTTATAGCAATTGCTGCCACTGACGAGTCATTGTCATATGCATCTCAGTCTATACCATTGTCCCAGTCCCCCAAATATACAATTTTCTGGTATACTCGAGACAGGCGTTCTTCATTACTGTTTCGTATGTAAGTTGTGACCAATATGAATTTTTGTTTTTAATGATTGCTGCCACGCATTTTCCATGGAAGCCTTAAGGGTATATTTTCGTTTCAATAAACTCCGCGAAGTTTTCATGATTTTCATCAACAATTACGCCGGTATTGTTTGTCTAAATCTGCCTAAAATATTTCTTCGCAAGCTACGGTTTGCATTATTAGTGCATTTTTTTTCTCCTACAGCTACATTAATTATAATTTATAAGTATTTTTCCGACTTCTGCAAGCGTATGCAATGCAATAAGTCGTTAAATGATGGTAAATATAAATGAAAGATTTATTACGATACATGCATGTTTGAATTGTATTTAGGTCAGACCATACAAAAGTGCTGTTCATGCATCAGTGCAAAACTGGTATTTGATAATTATTTCGTAAACATTTCGAACATCACTCTAAATTTTTGTACATTTCTATTTAATATTTGCTTGTCTTATGTTGCATATTATACATCACTTTTTTATGGTCGGTCCCATTTATTTAAGGGTAGAATTCTGATCGCTTATTCAGAAGCATTGTTAAACTGCAGCCTGCAGAAGCATCATCTACGCCATGCAGTGTTTACTACGGGGAGAAAGCTAACGCGTGGTAACGACTAACGAGTTTTCAAGAAGGTATATATTTATTAAAACAGCGAGATTTTGATTATTGTTGATTTGATCTTAAAGATTAAACCGTTCAAATTTGTACGAGAATACGTGAACAGCGTAAGTCAGAATAAAGGCTAGGGAAAAGTCTATTTCTTAGGCCAGACGAAAGAAAGAATTCAGTTGCCTTTTTGTATTATTTAAACTAGATAGAATAAACTAACAAAATGAAACAAAGTGTCAATGCATTGATACTGA